AAACAAAAGTAGCTCCTTAAACTTTACTAAACATTATGCCAGTGGTTCTCAACCTGTGGCTCTTGACCGCTTTGGAGGTCACATCTGATATCTTGCATATCAGTTATTACTATTCATTACTATTACATTACTATTCACAACAGCAGCAAAACTATTAGTTATGTAGTAGCAACAAAATAATTTTATGGTTGGGGGTCCTCACAATATGAGGAACTGTATTAAAGGGTTGCAGCGTTAGGAAGGTTGAGAACCACTGAATTATACCCATCTGTTCTAATTTTTCCTACTTTCTACTTTTTAAGTGATGTTTTGATCAGTATTTTGATATTTGCTCTTGCAAAATGTTGTGATTTTTTTAATTTCACTTATACATGTTTACCTTGGTCTTGAGTAGTCATAGATTGTGCAGTGAAAAAACACTATCTTTGTGGGAGAATTATATAATGTGCCTTTAGGGTATGACATATCTGATAGTTGAGAACTCCCTGTAATTGACTTCCTTCCACCTTTACTTTTAGTATACTTTTTCAAAAGAGTTTTGTTTAGAGACAGGATCTCATATAACCAGGAGTGACCTTGAACTTCTGGACCTCTTGTCTCTTATTTAGACCTGCTCTACAGTGTCCAGTACAGTTTTATTACTTATTTAGTTGGTTTACATTATATATTTGCTGGTGTGTGTGTGTGTGTGTGTGTATACCTGTGGAGGTCAGAGGTCAGTGTTGGATGCCTTCCTCAGTTGCTCTCCACCGTACTTTATGACACAGGGTCTCTGATTGTTTATTCACAGCTAGCCCTTGAGCTTCAGGAATCTGTTCTCTTTGCTTCCCCAGCATTGGGATTATAAGTGCATGCCACCATGCTCAAACTTTTTGTCTGGGTTTTTATGTGGGTGCTAGGGATCTGAACTGAGGTCCTTTGTTTGCATGGCAAGCATTTTACTGACTGGGTCATTCTCCCAGACTTTTATGCTTATGAAGAGTTATTTTATAAGTCAGTTTCTTTGAAAGTATCTTCCTATTTGAGGAGTGGTATAAGACAGTTTCTTACACTGTCCTTACATAATCGTAGGTGTTATGGCACTGTACACTTAAGCTACATGCTGTTGCTGCTATGTTACAAGTCTGCATAACGTATTACTATATGGAATTCAGTAAACAGTTGTAACATAATGAACATCTGTGTATCCAAACAGAAGAGGCACTGTAAAACATGTCTCCATGTAAGGCAGTATCAATGAATGGGTCTTGCAGGATTAAAAGTTTGTGAGTCATTGAGATTGAAAGCTTAGGGTATGATGGCACTGGAACTGTGGTAGGATTGCTGCTATCTGTGCCAGTTTTTCGATCATAGTGATAAAGTGTACCTCATGTCATTAGAAAGATGATCCTAGTATCCATACCTGAAGAAAAGTGGCAGTTTTTTCTTTTGCTATAGTTTTTAAGGGACCCTTGAGAACTTTTATTCTCAATCATGATAATGATGTGGCACTAGGTACATCTATATATTACATATTGATATAATCAGGATATTCAGGTATTATCTCATATATTTAATTCTTTAAAATCTTTGTTATTTTGGATTATATGTAACAGTGTAACTACAGAGTAATGACCTATGTAATAGAACACTCATTTATTCTTCTGTGACTTTGTACTGGTTTAATAGTTTCTCCCCATCCTCACCTTTTTCCCCTTTTCTCCTCCTTTTAAGACCCACCTTTTTCCCCTTTTCTCCTCCTTTTAAGACCCGCTCTTCTGCTTACTAGGTCTGTGAGCTTAGCTGAAAAAGAAATTCAAGTTGTTACCGACTCCTTTAAGAAATAAAAGAAAACTGTATGTCCTTGTGTTTGAGGAATTTTTCATTAAGCAGACTTTAGACTTAAAGTTGAAACCTCTTAGATGAAGAGCCTATTCTTACCAGGATTACATTGAGATGGAAACAAATTAAAGTATATCTAGAGGGGTCTGATGCAAACCTGTAATCCCAGCTGCTTAGGAGGCTGGAGTAGAGTTGCAACTTCAACCCTTATTTGAGCTACAGGAGGAGTCCAAGTAACTTAAAGACTTCGTGGCAGAACAAAGCGGGGGGGGGGGGTGTCGCAAAAAACTGAACATGATGGTTCACCTTTAATCCTAGCACTCCTAAGGAGGCAGAGGTAGTAGGATCTGTCTACATAGCAGGTTAGCCAGAGCTATATAGTGAGACTCTTTCAAAAAAAAGGAAATAAAGAGCTGGATGTCTCTGTTGGCAGAATGCTTGTCTCCCGTGTAGAAAGCCCTGGGTTTAGAAGCTCAGTATTTGGGAAGTGGGACAGAAGGATCAGAAGTTCTACTCAAGGTCTTTTGGATGCTTAGAGAGTGGACTGCTAGCCTGCGCTATATGAGACTATGTCTCAAGGACAAAGGAAACAAGGGTTGGAAATACAGCTAAGTAATGGAGTGTTTGCCTAGCTTGTGTAAGCAAAGTTCAACCCTCAATCTCTCTCTCTCCCTAAGACAGACAGACAGATGCACGCACGCACGCACGCACGCACGCACGCACGCACGCACACACGCACGCACGCACACATGCACACACACACACACCATTTGTTTTACTTATTAGGCTTAGGTAGTTATATGTAATGCTTGGTAAATTTTTACTTTGTGTCTTCTATGTTTGTGGAGTAATTCCCTAAAATTGCTGAAGAGCTTTGTCAGAGTAAAAAACAACCCCAAATCTTTTATATTAATTATTTTTATAGGTGTTCAGCCTGCATGCATGTACAGATCACCCCATGTGTATGCAGTGCCTGTGGACACCAGAAGAGGGTATTAGATCATTTAGGTCTGGAGTTGTAGACACAGGTGTTTTTGAGCTGCTGTGGGTGCTGGTTGGGGCCCCTCTGGGAGAGCCCTCTGTGTCAGATCTTGAAGCAGAAATGATGCAGAACTTTACTTTCCCCACCCCCACTTCTCCATTCATCTCTTCTGTAGCTGTGTTTATGCTGATTGGTTTTGAGCCCTTAGAAAATACTTTGCAGGGATGTTTTACTCATATCCAGGTACATCTGCATTCTTAGTGTCACAGTGAATGCTTTCAAATTTCTCAAGCTTGTATTGGCCTCATTTAGACACTTCTCACATTTTAAATTCTCTGCTCTTCTCTATCCCTGACAGCCTCAATAATCCTAAATATTCTAATTGTCATAATTCCTTTCCATTCATGTATATTTCAGTTAGTAACCTGTGAGTGTCCAAAGCAGTGTGTTTATTCTCTGAACTTTTCCAGTTTTTCCTTAGTTGACTAGTGCTTGTCTTTCTTCCCCCTTTCTTTGCTCTCCGTTCCCTGTACTAGGTAGGTGGTGAACACTCACCCCCTGTGCCCCATTGAATTCCTTTATCATGAATTACGGAAGATTTCAAGTGTGTGAGTATATTGTAATTTTAAGCACATTTCATTTAAGATTACTTCCAGGCTACTTAGGTTAAAATAGAAATATAATTGAATTGAAAATACAGTTATCATCGATTTTAAAGTAATCTAGTGTTGGAAAAGCATGAAACTTTATAGCAAAGACAGATTAATAAATTAGTATTGTTAGGTGAGATGCCCTGGGCTTCTGCAAGAGTATTAAGTTTAGTTGCTGCATAGTTGAGTACTGCCCTGTTGGAGAGTAAAATGCATGTAGGGAATGCTGGATAAGTATTTTAGTACTTGAAAACTGATTTTTGCCTTAGTTCTTTGTACATTTATTTTGGCAGAAAGTAGTATCTACATGTGTTGGTACCACATTGACTTTGGTGTTCTTGAAAGCAGAACTCAAAGAAGCCTGTATCTGAGGTTTTCTAAGTTTGAATTGTGGATTTCATAGTTAAGTAGCAATGAAGGAGGAGGGAGAGTTTTGCTACTTAAACATTTTGCTGCCATTCTTTTTTCACTTATTTTGGTGTTTGTGAAACTTGGTGTTTAATTATTTTGAAGAAAGTGTTTCATTTTTAAGTAGAGTTAAAGATAAGGTTCATCTACTTTTTCTCTCAAGGTTTTATTGCCTTTAGAGGTACAAATTAATAGCTTATGATTCACTAAAAATTTATAATGCCTGCTCTTCCCTCCTACCCTCAAGCAGGTCTGATCCTTCCCTACTGTTTTTAGTGTTTCTGATGTGTGTAGCGTGCAGCATCCCTTGAAGTGGTCAGTCACAGTGAAAGTAGGCACTCTTGCCTCAAATTAGAACTCATTGGTGGGGTCTGAGAAGAGCTCCTTTTGCAAGAATAGACAGTGCAGAACCATCTCTCCAGTCCCTAACTTAGATTTTTGGTAGCTTTCCAGCTATTGTAATTTTATTGTGGTTTAAAAAAAAGTTTTTAATATTCTAGTTCTGTTCAGTTTAAAAAAACTTATTTATGGCCTAATATAGGTCTGTCTTGATACTTGGAGGTGGTGGGGTTTTGTTTTATTTTTAGGTGTGTGTGTGTGTACTTTGTGCTGGTGGTAGTTTTTGAGAGAGGATCTCATGTAGCTGAGGTAGCTTTCCCACTCTATAGATAAGGATGACACTAAGCTTCTCCATAGCTTCTGCTCAGCTACATTATATAACTCAGGTCCATTGTCTAGGATGGGCCTCCTGCATCAATTAGTAATCAAGAAAATGCACCCGTGGACATGCCCATAGGCTAGTTTGATCCTCAGTTGAGATTCCTTCTTCCCAGATGTGTGTAGGTTTGTGTTAGCAACTAACCAGCACAGTAATAAAGTGGGTTTTTTTGCTGTTACTATTTTGTTTCATTATATGATTGGAGAACACTACTAGATGAGGATTTAAAGACAGGTAGGTAGTATGTACTCCTTCACCCCTAATGAATCAGGTCTCTTACATATAATAAGACAAAGTACGGAGAGGAGTGATGGCATGCAAACCATCTGTTTAGTAACCTCTTAATTCTGCATCAAAAGCAAGTACAGTATTATCGGTTACTGTATTTAGTTTTCTTAGTATTGAAACTTTTTGTTTGCAGCTCTTGGACAAGCACAAGACTATAGAGAGCATGGTGGAGCTTTTAGACTTGTATCAGATGGAGGATGAAGCCTACAGCAGCCTTGCAGAGGCTACAACTGAACTCTACCAGTATTTACTTCAGCCATTCCGAGACATGAGAGAGCTTGCCATGCTGCGAAGACAGCAGATCAAGGTATTTTTATTTTTATTTTATTTTATTTTATTTTTTATTTTATTTTTTTTAAGCATAAACTGTAGCCACTCTAGTTCTGAGCCTGGCTAGTCATACGTTTTAATTACAAAAGAAGCATTCAAATAATGCAAACTGATTCTTGTCCTTTCCTGTCTAAGGTCCTTTGTTGGGACAGTAAGTACACATATTATTATACTCTTACTTGAACTTTTGAGAAATAATGAGTTATCAGTTATTTTAAAATAAATTTGGCACTTGGATTAAAAGGATGTCAGAAACCTAAGACTGGATATTAGAAATTACATTTAAAAATCAACTGTAGACATTTTTTGAGAATCTACCCTGAAAGCCTGAAAAGAACTAGCTATGGTGTCCCCCAATACTGGACTGCTTGTAGTATTTGCAGACATCGCTTTTGCAGTTCAGCATTGACTGTTTAAATTTTAGGTTCATTCTTAGAGGCAAGTAATTAAGGAGTGTGCATTGAATATTCATTTGAGAAAGTCTATAAACTGAATGAGTGAGCTACTATCACTGCTTATTTCATTTTTCTTGGGAAACTGAGGAGAAACATCATATTTAGTTAATTTGTAACTTTCTTTAAGGCAAAAAGTGGTATTTGACTATATTTGTTATAAGCTATTGCTTCTCACACCATCAGCCACTACTGTTTTATTCTTTGTGCTTATGAATGCTTGCTACATACAGGCATATTTTCTAATAATTCACTACACCTAGTTATTGAGTCCTTATAGCACCCGGAACCATCAGCCTAGGGATGGTACTGCCCACAGTTCATAGTGTGTCAGATGAATGAATATGTTAAGTGGTATTGTTACACAAATTACTCATTTATGTCCTTGTTCATAGCTAGTAATAGTCATTTAGGTGACTAATTCCAAAGAATGTCTTAAAATTATTTATTATTACTAGTTACTATTAAGTTAGAAATACATATATTGTAAAAAAGGAATTATAATTTTTTGACAAAGTATTTGTTATAAAATAAAAACTAAAAACAATTGTTTATTACATAGTATGAGGATATGATATAATTTAGTTATTAGCATTTCTTTTGGTGTGATAAAGCACCATGACCGAAAACAACTTCAGAAGAAGAGGGCTTTTTCAGTTAAAGTTCTCCATCACAGTGCATCACTCAAGTCAGAACAGGAACTCAAAACAGAGCAGGAACCCGGAGGCAGGAGCTGATGCGAGGCCATGGAGGATGCTGCTTACTGGCTTGCTCAGCCTGCTTTCTTACAGCACCCAGGACCACCAGCCCAGGGATGGCACTGCTCACAGTGAGCTGTGTCCTCCCATTCCAGTTATCAGTCAAGTAAATGCACCAGAGGTTTCTCCACAGGATAATCCAGTAAGGGGGCATTTTCTCAATTGAGGATCCTTCTTTCAAAATAACTGGCTTTGTATCAAGTTGACATAAAACTAACTGGCACAAATTGAGACTTGTCTTTGGATTATAACCAAGCTAACTATGTCAATAAAATTTCAAAATCCCTTCTTATAATTTTTGTTTTCTGCAGTGGTTAAATTGAATCTAGGGATTTATGTCTTTAGACAGCCCCTTTACCACCTTAATTCCTGGAAATTATTTTATGAAGATAAATTAGTGCGTGAAATAGAGGTGGAAACATGTTTTACTCTGACCCATTAGTGCAATGTGTATTGTGTGTAGAGATAATTACAACTTTAAAAGTCTTGAAGCAGGGACTGGAGAGAGAGCTCAGCAATTAAGAGCACTGACTGCTCTTCCAGAGGTCCCGAATTCAATTCCCAGCACCCACAGGGTAGGTCACAACCATCTGTAATGATATCTTGTGCCCTCTTCTGGCCTGCAGGGATACATGCAGGCAGAATGCTGTACATAATACATATTTTTAAAAAATTCCTTTTAAAAAATGTCCCGAAGTAGGGAAAGTAGTAGAATATATACTTACCACTTTTGCAATTATTACTAATGTTGGAATTTATTCTACAGCTTTATTTTCCCTACATATTGTGCCAGATTTGTATTGAGTTGATAGTTTTACAATTTTTAATTTTTTTCCCGATTTTCTGCTTCCCAAGTGCTGGGATTAAAGGCATGCTCCACCAATGCCCGGCTTAAATGTATTTTCTAACTGGTAGTTAATAGAGGTTTTGGTTAGCCCAGTCTGTATTGTTTATATTCCCATGTTCCCAAAAGGATTGCCTTGTGTGGTGGACCTTACTACACTTTGGGTGGACTTCTTAATGTCTCTGGGAGAACTGACTTCGCTCTGCACCCTTGACAAGACATCTGTGTGAAACTGAAGCTCAAGGGATATTTATGACATTAAGTATTTGTTAGAGAGGGGTCTAAAATAACCATTGAAGGTTCTCAGTGAAGACACTAGAAAAAAACAGTGGTAGAGTGTTTAGCTCCACAAAACAAACGTGTTAAGGAAAACAAAACAACAAAAAAAAAAGATTGAGAATAAGTGTGAAACAGACAAAACTTAGACAAAAATCAATGAAACCTTACCCTGGTTACATTAAAAAATACATATTTCAGTGTATTTTAGAAACTTAGTTTAAATGTTTTTTTTCTTTTTAAGAAAGTAGTAGACATATATTGTTTGTGTGGGGAGAGAGATTGTTTTGTTTCATTTTGTTACAGGGTCTCTTTTTATGTAGTCCTGGCTGTCCTGGGCTCCCTATGTAGAATAGGCGTGAGCTCAAATTTTCCTTCCTCTGCCTCCTGAGTGCTGGGAATAAAGCGTGTGTCACCACTCTCACTTCCATTTCAGTCTTTTCATACTTTTTTATTCAGTAGTGTTCTAGAGGTCTAAGCAGTCCAATAAAAAACAAAAACGTAAAAGTAATACATAAATTGGAAAAATTGAAGAAAAGTCTCTGCCACCCTAGTGCTGATATTAAAGGCATGCACCACCACTACCTGGATAATTCTAAGGAATCTTAAGAGTTGTTCGAAAGAGTATATAAGTTTAATGGAATTTTGGTATACAGTCAATATGAAAGATTTGGTTAAGTATTGTCCTCTGGATGTAAACAATTTAAAATTGAAAAAAATTTAGGAATCCTTGTACACAAAACTTTCAGTAATAAATGTCACTAAAATGCATGAAAGTACTTTAAAGAAAGAATTGTGAAATAATGCTGAGGTCCCTGTAGAGTACCTGTCCTAACATACCTACTGCCCCGGGATGCAGTCCCCAGTAGCACAGAACAAATGAACACCAAAACTTCTCGGAAATTATAGAATGACTAACTTTAGAGGTGTTGCACATTAATAGATTGGAAGACTCAATAATGTTTATAGTATGTCAGTATGCTGGTCTGTTTTTGTTACTGCAGCAAAATGTCCAAGATAGGATCTTTTTTATACCAAGGAAAGATAAGTTAGTAGTCTAAATCATGATGCAGGCTCTGGTGAGGGCATCAGTAATATCACCTTTTGGTGGTTGCAGTAATATGAGTGCAAATATGAGCATAAGTTCATGCAGTCAGTCAGCCGGCCGGCCGGCCGGCCCGCCTGCCCACAGGCCCCTCTGAGGTTGCCCTAAGCTGAACTGAGAGACTCTTATTAGTTCCCTCCCCATCACCACCACCCTGGGAACCAACTTTGCAACAGATGAACCTTTGGGGATTAGAAAGACAGTTAAATTATAGTAGTGAGATCTCATTCAATTAGTATATGGAATAAAATCAATTTTAGCAGTGCCTTTACAATTTATTTTTATTTAAGGTTAACATTTAACTTAACAATAAAATTTCATCTACACTAATATTTTGTTATTTTATTTATGTGCATTCCAAGAGCTAAATTGGGTATGGTGGTGCACACTATTACCCAGCATTCAGGAAGCAGAGGCAGGTGGATCTCTTTGAGTTTGAGGCCAGCCTCAACAAAGGAAGTTCCTGGACAACTGGGGATATTATACAGAGAAACTCTATCTCATTAAAAACAAACAAAAAAATTTAGAAGGGCTAAACTGAACTAGTTAATATCTTACATACTTTACTAAATTTTAGTGAGAACACTTAAGATCTGCTGTTATGTTTTTTAAAAAATTATACATTGGTAAATATATTTTACTATGTTGTAACATCTCTTTAAGTTAGTCTTCCTAACTGAAATTTTGTATCCTTTAACTAAAATCTTCCCTAAGCCCCAAATTGCTCTCCTCTACATGAGTTAGTACCATTCTACTCTTTGTTAAAGGCTGAATGACGTGTGTGTGTGTGTGTGTGTGTGTGTGTGTGTGTGTGTGTGTGTGTGTGTGTGTGGGTGTTTTCTTTGTCCATTCCTCTGTTGAAGGACACATGTATTCATCCCATTTCTTTATTGTGAGTTATGCTGAAGTTAACATTGGGACCTCATATCTCAACATACTGCCATCAAGTCCTTGGTCATAAACTTAAAGTAGAACTGGAAGAACGTGTGGTCTGTTTCTAATTGTCTGAGGAGCTACCATAATAGTTAACACTAATAGTTCCCACCAACAGTATGCAAAAATCTCCCCTTTGTTCATCTCCTTTCTAACATTTGTTATCTTTAGTCTTTTGGATAATATCCATTTAAACAGGAGTGATATCACAACTCAATTTGGGTTTGGCTTAATTTCCCTGATGACTTGTGATATAGAATATTTTTCATGTATTAGTTAGCCATATGTCTTAGACCCTTTGCCCATTTTAATTGACTTCTCGTATTTGGATACTAGTGTTTTACAAGATGTATGGTAGGGAATCAAATCCAGGAGGTTATCTTTTGAAGCCACTCAGATACTATGCCACAGAGCTGCATCCTCAGCCCTCCCACTGCCCATTCTGGCCTTGAACTTTGTATCTGCTCTGCTGGCATCCCAAGTAGCTAGGATTACAGGTGCATGCAGGTACATCCATTTACAGTCTGGGCTGGTGTGTTCAGGAGCTGTGATGGGGCTGGAGAGATGGCTTAATGATTAAGAAAGCTTACTGCTTTTCCAGAGGATCTTAACTTGGTTCTCTACACCCACAATGGTAGTTCATAATCGTCTGTAACTCCGACTCCAGGGGATCTAGTGTCCTCTTCTGGCCTTCACTGGCACCTTAACACACACACACACACACACACACACACACACACACACACACACCCCCACACACACCAAAAAAAAAAAAAACAAAAAATTAAAGTAAATCTTTTAAAAAGTTCTTGATAATTGCTTATCATTGAACAAGCTGCCCTGATGCCTAGAAAAGTTACATTATGCTACACTATGCTACACTAAGTATATTCATAAATCTGAATTGGCATTTGCTTCACCAAAGGATCTTAAACTATATTTTCCCAGTATCTTAACAATGCACAGAAATGCTGTATTATAAGAGCTTATAAAACCACAGTATCCTAGCAATGATGTGCTTTTATAATAGAGAGCTCCATGCCAGAGAATTTGTGTTTATAAATTAGTTTTATTCTCCTGGCTACCTAAACTGACACACACCTTTTTCCATGTTAAAACATGCTCTGTTTTCTTTCTAGTCTTGAAATTCCAAACAGAGCTGTCATTGTTTTTAGCACACAATCCAGCTGAACAGGGCTGCTGTGACATCTTCAAGTTTCCCAAGTTAGGAAAAGAAGTTAAGAGAGGATTGTTGCTTAGTGCATTGAGTACAGGAAAATGATTAGACAAGGTTTCTAGTAGTTGGTTGCAACATTATAGCTGCTGAGTTCAAAAGTCATCCACAAAGCCACAGAAGAAATGCTGTGTAGGAGGGTGTTTTTGTGTGTGTGTGTGTGTGTGTGTGTGTGTGTGTGTGTGTGTCTTCTGTGTTGAGGTGGGGACAGACAAGTGCTAATCCAGCAGTGCGCAAGTTATCTTCAGATGAGTGTGCTGTTCTGTTTGGTTTTTAACCTCTTCCCACAAAATCCCCAATACAGAAGAATCTCAGTTTTCTAGGTTTCCAACCCCTCCTTTTGTCTGGTGGTGGGTGGTATGGCATTTATTCATGCAGGTGGAAATGATTTCCGTCCTCATGTTCTGAGCTTTGAGTTAGGGCGATTTTTGTTGTGTTTATTTTGTTGAGTTTCTATTCTGTAGTTAAGTCTGTTGAGGTTTGACCAAAAAATCAAATTAGTAACTTCAACAGTGAGTGTGCTAATACTAAGATTTGTTAACTAGGTATAAAGAAAAGCAGGTAATTAAGGCAAGAAAGTAAACTACCTCAAAGGAAGCAATTATAAAAAGAGCTACCACTTTTAGAGGTGAAAGAACAAAGGAAAGGGACTGGATTTATTGAGTTAAGCACAGATGGCTGGTCCCCTGGAGCTACATCCTTCTAAAAAAATGATGTTGCATCTTGTAGTCTAGTAGTAGCCTTGATGGAGAGATCCAGACCTCTAAGGATAGGGCACTTGGTGTGCTGGTACTGGCTGTCTTGGTGGAAAAGGCAAAGTTGTATTATGAGGCTGGAGTTGAAAAAACTATATATATATATATATATATGACTACTGAAGTGGTAGGTATAGAAATTGTATATTTGGGTAATTAATCCAGTATAAATGAGTTAGGGAGTTGACTAACATTCAGGTTCTGATGTTACCACCACTTCCTCCTCACCTGTACACTGCCAAGAGAAGCACCTCACATTTACCATCTTTGATCTTCTTAGAGGAAAACGGGAAACTTGGGGTTAATGTGCTTTTAGCCCATTCATTGAAGAATGATCTCTTCCTGTTTATTATTATATGTACACCACCACTTTTTCATTGTTAAATATATTTCATTCAGTGAAGAAAGTAGAAAATGTACGGTCTTTTCTTGGCATTTCTCTTTCTCCACGCTTCTCTTTTCTCATTTTCCCTTTCTTTTGACTAGGTCAATATGAGGTAGATCAGGCTGACCTCATATTCACAGATTGCCTCTCATCTTTCTGAGTGCTGGGATAACAGTCTTGGCATGAATCACATACCTGACAGAAACTGCAGTTTTTGTGTTCTTCAGGTGCTGCAGATTGAACCCAGGGCCTTGCACGTGTAGGCAAGAGCTCTACCACTGACTTATATCCCTAGCCCTTGGAAGTGCAGTTTTGAACAGGAAGAAAATGACTGACACAAAATCTGCCACCTGAAGATGACATCAGTAGTACATTTTATATGCTTTGCCCTTTTTTCCCTGGAAATTCACTATGTAATTGAATTTTATTTCATCTTTGATTTTGATCTATATCCACCTACTGTTGTAGCATGTAGCATTCATGTTAAGAGAAACTTTCTAAACATTTATTATTGCAAAGATTTGGATTTTATGACTGTCAAACACAATTTTCTCATTACACATCTGGTATTCATTCCCCCCTTTATTTCAAACACCCCTTGGTGTGAACAGCTCTAGTTACTCTTCAAAGGAGCTTTCTTCTTGAACCTCTCTGTCTCAGCTCCTTATGCAGTTATAGAATCTCTTGCTGTTGGCTATCTTTCTCTAGTGAACACTGACTGTATGTGCATGAGTGTGTGTGTGGGGTGTTTACACCTTAGATGACCTCATTAAACCTTCCTAGAACTCACTCTGTAGACCAGGCTGGCCTCGAACTCACAGACATCCACTTGCCTCTGTCTCTCGAGTGCTGGGATTAAAGATGTGTGCCACCACTGCCTGGCCTAACCATTATGGTTTTATAAATGCTTTCTTTGTGTTGTTAATTCCCAGATTTATATCTGTGGCCATGACCTTTGAAAAATTTATTTCAGTTCTCACAAAAGTAAATCTTAGGTCTTTTCTTCTTTTAAGTCCCATTCCCCCTTAAATGAAGGGTGTTAAATTCCAGGTGATTAAATTTTATTTCAGTTTTAGGTTATTATGTTAATTTCTGTTTCTTGCATTGCTTAGAAAATATGGCTTGTTTTATTTGTACCTTTGAAATTCATTATTTTCAGTGATTTGATACTTGTTTTCATTTAATGTATAGGGGTGTTTTGCCCATATATATATATATATCTTCACAGAAGCCAAAAGAGGGTGAGACTGGAGTTACAGATAGTTGTGAATCACCATATGGATGCTGGGAATTGAATCTGGGTCCTCTAGAATAACTGCTTAGCTATCTCTCTAGCTCCCCCGCTCCCCTCCTTTTTGAGACAGAGTCTTTCTATGTAGCCCTGACTGTCCCAAAACTTACCATGTAGATCAGACTGGCCTGTCTCTGCTTTCTGCATGCTGGTTTTAAAGGCATGTGTCAACACTCTTAGTTTTCATTTATCTTAACAGTAATATTACTTTTCTTTCCCATCATGCTTCAGCCTTCTAAAGAGCTAGGGTTACAGACATAGGCCACCATGTCTGTAACTTAATGTTTCTTATTTAATTTCTTAATTGATCTGTGTATGATGATAAAGCAGGTTTGTTTGTATACATAATCCATTTCCATTCATTTGTTGTTTGTGACTTTGGTAATACATAGCTAGTTTGTTTTTATCTTAAAGGGACAGAGTGCTTGCTTGGGATATGTCAGGCCTTAGTACTTGAAAAAGGAAAATAATAAATAAAAGAAAATTTATTAGAGTACTTTCAGTATGTATATGGGCAGACTTTTACAGTGTCACCAGTCTTAAAATCTATATTTTAATATTTAATGGCTTTTAAATGTAATCACTGCACAAATAATTATTAACCTAAAATATTACTATTGCAAGAAGATAAATTGCTCATTATCTCAATACTCAGAAATGACCAAAGGCTTTGCTGTGTATTGTTCCCACATATGTAGAAGGGAATGGAGGGTGGAAGGGGTAGAAGGAAGGCAGATTCTCATGTCAAATATCTTTAGCATCTTTTGCTATGAAGTTACCCAGTTTGTATCACTAATACATCTTCTAGAGCAGGGTACAAGTAGTGTTCTGACTAGTTCCTGGCAGAGAAACAAACATTCATTAAATGTCTGAGGAATGAGAGAGAGATGCTTCCCTTTTTCTCATGCAGATTTCTATGGAGAATGATTATCTGGGACCTCGAAGAATTGAGAGTCTACAAAAAGAAGATGCTGACTGGCAGCGGAAAGCTCACATGGCTGTGTTGTCTATTCAGGATCTCACTGTCAAATATTTTGAAATAACTGCTAAAGCTCAGAAAGGTAAACTTTTCAGTATGATTCCTTAGGCAGTTTTTGAAGATGAGTAGTTAAGTTTTATGTTTAGTCTAATTGTAGTGTTGGGTAAGTGTGGCTCACTGCAGCAGAGAGTAACCATTAGTAGCAAGTCAAGGTATCCTTTCAGCCCCTTCTAGGCATACATGTATGGCCTGCTCAGAGAGTACTGTTGTGGGGTAGCTACCAGAGAATACTTCTTAGACGTGGGGATAAGTCTTTTTTAGCCAGCTGTCAACTTCATTAGGTGTTAGCCTTTCTCAGGGTGAGCTTTTAAGCACAGAATCTATGTTCTGGGTTGACAAACATGAGTTAACAAGAACAGTTAGCCAGAGTTGGAATTGCAGAAGCCAAAAAGCAAGGTTAGTGCATTTAGATACATTCTCAAAATTATGGGTTTTGATGGATTGGGTCTTTGTTTTCATTTTGGCAGGTGGTACTGTCTGCATGCTGAGTTTTATGGTATGAATGATATTTTCATCATAGAGTTAGTTCTACTATGATCTGGGGGCCAACTAAGGATTGAGACTCTGATACAAATACAGAAATAAACACAGTAAGGTTTATTACTGGAAAAACATGATTGAAACAATTAACCATCTATATACATACAAATAAATGTTTTTACAAAATTAAACCTCACAGACTTGACTTAAAAGTGTATCATACTTAAAATAGAACACTTCCCCAGCCTATAATACACTCTATTGATCTTACAATTGCCTTAATATTTGAATACAATTTTTAAAGATGGTCAGAAAATTTAAAAAGACAGAAATATATTTCATATAGAACAGACAATAGGGATAGTTTGTTTGAGACCTTAAAATTGAGGTTCAAGGAGATTCTGAGTTGAAAACTTTAGTTCTACTGTTAGTATGCCTGTTCATGCCACATTAAATAATAAAAAGGTTCTTCCTCTTGGAGTAGTTTAGAGTGAGCACAAACTTGAATTTCATCACTCTGTGCCTTCTGTTCATCTGAAATGTGTGGTCTATTGTCCTTTGTTGTGTGATGTTTGTCTGTTGTCTTTCTCTAACAAAGGGTTTTGCTCCATGTTTATTGAACAACACAGAAAACATGATATGAGAATGAAATGAGAAATTCTCTTCTATAAACATCTTAGAGTTTTGCAGGAGATATTTTATTGATGCAAGCTGACCCAAGATTACACTCAAAACTTAAAACATGTTACCAGCCTATCTCCACATGTTGCTTCCAGCATTTAGGATGGATGTTTGTATTCTTTAAGACTGCTTTCAAGCCGGGCGGTGGTGGTGCACGCCTTTAATCCCAGCACTCGGGAGGCAGAGGCAGGTGGATCTCTGTGAGTTCGAGACCAGCCTAGTCTACAAGAGCTAGTTCCAGGACAGCCCCCAAAGCCACAGGGAAACACACAAAACCACAGGGAAAACAAAAAACAAAAAAAGACTGCTTTCAGCCTATTGGCTGCTTTTAACAAATGATTACCAACCACAACACACACATACTACTCTGGGTCAGGGGCATGGAAGCATATATAGTATAAGATCAAAACTATGCGTTTAGCTTATTGCACAATATGATTACATGTAAAGTAGAATGTATAGTAAGATTTGGTTCATTATTCTTCTCTCTGTCTTTCTCTTTTTCTCCTTTCTTCCTTCCTTCCTTCCTTCCTACCTACAGGGTTTCTCTGTATAACAGTCCTGGCTGTCCTGGAACTCTTTGCAGACCAGGCTGACCTCGAACTCTGCCTCCCAAGTGCTGGGATTAAAGGCATGTGTCACCACACCTGGCCCTTCATTGTTTTCTCAAGGGCAAGTTAGACAGGCTGAACACATAGTAGGGAAATAGATTGAGCTCATAGTCAAGGGATGTTATTAACATGGTTGCCTGGTCTGGCAAAATTTCAGTTTTTGAAGGCAAGAGATATTTTCAGAAAAAGCTGTTCCCTCAGTCATTTAAGAGCCACTCAGAATAGCAGTGACTTGTAGCAACAAAGCTTAGAGAGACCAAGAAAAGGGAGCAGCACACCCTCTAAAGAAGCAAATTCCTCATCTGTCAGATCAGCATCACAGGTGATTTCTAAAGACTGTAAGTTCAAGAAACAACAGTGTTTTTGAAGTAAGCATCACAGGCTTGAAGTCAGCTGGTTGTATGAGCATCAACATAGAAACTTGGTGGTCAGCATAACGAGCTGACTCATTATACTTGTTAAGACGTACATAAATTATGTGCTTATTTCTTAAAGAAAGGAGTTCTAGGGCTGGAGAGATGGTTCAGCACTTAAGAGCACTGACTGCTCTTCCAAAGAACCCTGCATCAATTCCTGACATTCTTGTGGTGGCTCACTTTTGTCTGTTAACTCCAGTTCCAGGGAATCTGATGCCCTTTTTGGCCTCCATAAATGCTAAGCCTACATGGCATGCTTATACTCAGGCAAAATACCTGTACATATAAAGAATTTCTGAAAATTTTAAGGCAAAAGTTATTAAATACTTGTGTTAGTCAGTGTTCAGTTTTTGTGAAGACACGCCGTGACCATAGCAACTCAGTCTAACTTCAAAAGTCGTTCTAGTCTCTTAACAGTCTCAAACTTAATAGTCTAAAGTTCAGAGTCTTTTCTGAGATTCATGCCATCTCTTAACTGTAATCCCTTGTAAAATCAAAATCAAAAAGCAGGTCACATACTTCCAACATATAATGTCTTAGGGTATACATTACCATTCTAAAATAGAGGAAAGGGAGGATAGTGAGAAAATACTGGACCAAAGCAAGACCAAAAACCAGCTGGGCAAACTCCAAACTCTGCATCTCCATATCTGATGTCAAAACACTCTTCAGATCTCCCAATTCTTTTCAGCTTTCTTGACTGCAACATACTCCTCTCTCTTGGACTGGTCACTCCCTGTTAGCAGCTTTCCTCTACAGATATCCCATGACTCTGGCATTTCTAACATCTTGAGGTCTCCAAGGCAATCCAGGTTTCACCTTCACAGCTTCACAAAATGACCTCTCTGGGTTTCTGTGAAGGGACATCCCTGCCACATGCCTACCCTCAGTAGCTTTCTTTAATCTCAGAGGAAGATTTTATAGCCCCTTTCTTGTTTGTTTGTTTTTTTTCTCCATTTTTTTATTTGAATTAGAAACAAAATTGTTTTATATGTCAATCCCAGTTCCGTTTCACTCCTCTCCTTTCCTGCCCCCCCCCCCCACTAACACCCTACCTATCCATACCCTTTCTGCTCCCCAGAGAGGGTGAGGCCTTCCATAGGGGGCCTTCTGAGTCTTGCCTTATCCTATGGGATAGGGCCTAGGCCAACCCCCGTGTGTCTAGTCTGAGGGAGTATCCCTCTATGTGGAATGGACTCCCAAAGTCCATTTCTATGTTAGGGATAAGTACTGATCTACTGCAAGAGGCCCCATAGATTTCCAAGTTCTCACTGATACCCACGTTCATGGGGGTCTGTATCAGTCTGCAGACCAAGAGCTCTCCCTTGTTCAGGTCAGCTGTTTCTGTGGGTTTCACCAGCCTGGTCTGGACCCCTTTGCTTATCCTGCTTCTCTGCAATTGGATTCCAGTTCAGTTCAGTGTTAGCTGTGGGTGTCTGCTTCTACTTTCACTAGCTGCTGGATGAAGGCTCTAGGATGGCATATAAGTTAGTCATCAATTTCATTATCAGGGGAGGCCATTTAAGGTAGCCTCTTGTCTGTTGCTTAGTTTGTTAGTTGGTGTCATCCTTGTAGATCTCTGGACATTTCCCTAGCACCTGATTTCTTTTTAAGCCTATAATGGCTCCCTCTATTATGGTATCTCTTATCTTGCTTTCCTCTATTCTGCCCCTGACTCAACCTTCCGGCTCCCTCATGTCCTCCGCACCCCTCCTCTTCTCCCCTTCTCATTCTCCTAGCTCCCTCTCCCCTCCCCCCTCCCCCCATGCTCCCGGTTTGGTCAGGAGATCTTGTCCCGTTTCTCCTTCTCTGGGAGACCATGTATGTCTCTCTTAGAGTCTTCCTTGTTTCCCAACTTCTCTGGCAATGTATGTCTAAAATCCAAATATGAGTGAGTACATACCATGTTTGTCTTTTTGTGACTGGGTTATCTCGCTCAGAATAAATTCAGCCACACTGGACCTCTCCTAGAAGAGAAGGTATGTGGTACCCTCGAACGAATTGGTACAGGAGACCTCTTGCTGAACATAACACCAGTAGCACAAACATTGAGATCGAAAATTAATAAATGGGACCTCCTGAAACTGAGAAGGCAAAGGACACAGTCAGCAAGACAAAGCAGCAGCCCACAGAATGAAAAAAGATATTCACCAACCCCTGACATCTGACAGAGGGCTGATCTACAAAATTTACAAAGAACTCAAGAAGCTAGTCTCCAAAACACCAAATAATCCTATTAAAAAGTGGGGTACAGAACTAAATAGAGAATTTCCAACAGAGGAGTCTAAAATGGCTGATAGGCACTTAAGAAAGTGCTCAACATCCTTAGTCATCAGGGAAATGCAAATCAAAACAACTCTGAGATACCTTCTTACTCCTGTCAGAATGGCTAAAATCAAAAACAACAATGACAGTTTATGCTGGAGAGGATGTGGAGAAAAGGGAACATTCCTCCATTGCTGGTTGGAGTGCCAACTCGTATAGCCACTTTGGAAATCAGTATGGTAATTCCTCAGGAAAATGGGAATCAGTCTACCACAAGATCCAGCAATTCCATTCTTAGTTGTATACCCCAAAGAAGCACATTCATACAGCAAGGACATCTGTTCAACTTTGTTCATAATAGCAGCATTATTTGTAATAGCCAGAACCTGGAAGCAGCCTAGATGCCCCTCAACTGAAGAATGGATAGAGCAAATGTGGTACATTTACACAATGGAGTACTACTCAGTGGAAAAATAAAACAATGGAATCTTGAAATTCACAGGCAACTGTATGGAACTAGCCCCTTTCTTCTACCCTTGACTCTAATGCCAGAGCCATGTGCCTGAATCTGCCAAATTCTGCTTTCTAGGTTGGAACATGGCCCTCTTGTTCAATTACATCTTGTTCAGCTTTCTGTCCTTCACTGCCTAAGTGTGGCTGTCCTGAAATCTGCTTTGTAGATAAGAGGCTGGCCTCAGATTCAGAGATCCTCCAGCCACTGCCTTCTGATTACTGGGATTAAAGGTATGCACCACCATACCTGGACCCAAACTGTTCTTTCATTCCTTTTCACAAGTTGGATGCTTAGCTGGGTAGGATCTTGTCCCAAGGCCACCATTCCCTTTATTCCATTTCTTAATCTGTTTATCTCCTTGAACACAGGTTTTAGCAACATTCCACTTCCTGGTGCCCCTTTCCTCCTCATATTGTACATTTTGTATTTTTCCTTGATTTGCTTGTTCCTTTTCATTATAAATCTTAAGAATCAACACTAGTAACAACATGATAGAACCTATACTAGGCTTTTTTGAGATCTCCTTTCAGTGCAATTAATCCAAAACTTTTCACTTTAGCCTTAGGCAGACTTTTCGTACAAGAGCAAAAAAACAGCCACTTTCTTTACCAATAAAGATATCACAAGGACTATCTCTAGGCAAATTCTAAATTTGCCTAAAATTCTAGAATTTTAAATTTTAAATTTAAATTCTAAAATTCTCCTGAAACCTCTAATGCCAGCCCCACCCCACCCCCCAGTCCAAATCATCCTCAGCATTACTGTCTTCCATTATTGCCCATTAAGCAGCATTTAAAGCATCCCACTTCTTTCCTAAACCAAAGTACCACATGGTCAGGCCTATACAGAAATACCCCAGTCCCTGGTACCAACTTCTGCCTTGATTAGGTTTCTATTGATGTGAAGAGATACCCCGACCAGAGCATCTCTTATAAAGGAAAACCTTTAATTGGGCTAGCTTCCAATTTCAGAGGTTTAGTCCATTATCATTTTGGCAGGACATAGCAGCATGTATGCAGGCACACATGGTTTGGAGAAGAAGCTGAGAGTTCTACATATTGAGCTGTAGGCAACAGGAAGTGAATTGACTCACTAGGAATATCTTGAACATATGAAACGTCAAAGCACACCTGTGCAGTGACACACTTCATCTAATAAGGCCACACCTTCTAATAGTGCCACTCCCTATGGGGCCATTTTCTTTCAAACTACCACATTTCTATATTGTAAAAGATGATTAGGACAAAGTAATAGTACAAAATTAATCACCCTTTAAAACATAAAAGAAGGTACCAGTGAGTATATCTCATATTAAATTTTGAACTAATCTAATTGCCAATATCTGTAAGAAAGCATCTATCATATTAAAGTGTGATTGGGCATAAAGATACGAGTTAAGGTTTCAGGTGACACCACTGTCAATGCTCCTATCAGTATTCTTTTAAAAAAACAAAACAAAACAACTTTTTGTTTATGTGCACATGTGCACATGTCTATGTGGTTTTTTTTTTTTTTGTGTGTGTGTGTATGTATGTATGTATGTATGTATGTATGTATGTATGTATATGTGTGAATGCAGGTTCCCATGGAGGCCCAAGTCATTGACTGTACTGGAGCTGGCTTTATATGTCTTTATGAGTTACCCAAATGTAGGTGATGCTAATTGACCTTGGGTTCTTTGGAAAGTCAGTGGGTGCTCCTATTCGTTGAGCTATCTCTAGTTCTGCTTTTGTTTTGTTTTGTTTGTTTGGTTTTTTTGTTTTTCGAGACAGGTTTTCTTTGTGTAGTTTTGGAGCCTATCCTGGCACTTGCTCTGTAGACCAAGCTGGCCTTGAACTCACATATCTCTATAGGACTTTGCCTCCCGCATGCTGGAATTAAAGGCTTGTGTCACCACTGCCTGGCTTAGTCCTGCTTTTTAAAAAATTGTTAGGTATTAGCTATCTACCAACAATTAGTATCTGAGCCAGGCCTATGTTATTACAAACTAAGAAGTTCTTCCTTTCTGGGCAGTAGTGGCTCAAACTTTTAATCCCAACACTTGAGAGACAGAGGCAGGTGAATCTCTTGAGTTCAAGGCCAGCCTGTTTTACAGAATGAGTTCTAGGACACCCAGCATTCTTACACAAAGTTCTTCCTTTTTGTGTAAGGAAGAGGGCTGTGCTCTGTTTCATAGCTTATGGTTCAATTTTTACCTTCTGGATGAGAGCTGAACTAGTGTGTGGTATTAGTTCCTCCTGCATGCGGTTATCACAAAATTTTTAGCTTACACAACGGTAAGCCATGGAATGTAGGATTGAATATTTAGGGCTTAGAGTTAAGCTAGTTTTACATATGTACTGTATATGTGCATTTTGATCATGTTCACCCGCATTCTTAAATGTTATTTTTATTGATAAATTTATTGTTTTTTTGAGACAGGGTCTCTTTATGTAGCCCTGGCTGTCCTGTAACTGACTCACTATGTGAATGAGGCTGGCTTCAACTCACCATGCCCAGCTTTAAGCTATTTGTAAAAAATGATTTGTACATATTTTCTATTTATGTGTATGTGAGTCTGTGTGTTTATGTGCACCACCAGAAAAAGGTGTCTGCTTCTCTGGAACTGGTCATTACAGGTGGCTGTGAACTGCTATGTGAATTCTATGTACCAAACCTAAGTCCTCTGCAAGAACAGTAAATATGCTTATCTTCTCAGCCCTCTCTGCATCCCATGTTGAAGGTTATTTTTTTGTTTTGTTTTGTTTGAGTCAGTGTCTCACTATATAGCTGTGGCTGTTATAGAATTCACTATGTAGACCAGGTTGGCCTCAAACTTAGAGAGACCTGCCTCTGCCTCCTGAATGTTGTGATTAAAGGCATGCACCATTGCTTGAGATAACAGAATGAATGATACTATTGAACTATATTTTAGAGATATTAAACAATTTATTTTGGGCGTCAGTGAAATTAAGACCTCATAGTTCTTTATTGCCTAGTCTAGTAGTTTTGTGCCTTACTATTTCTACAAAATTGTTATTACCAGCTGTGTATGATCGGATGCGAGCAGATCAGAAGAAATTTGGCAAAGCATCATGGGCAGCAGCTGCAGAACGCATGGAAAAACTCCAGTATGCAGTTTCTAAGGAGACTTTGCAGATGATGAGAGCTAAAGAGATTTGTCTGGAACAGAAGAAACATGCACTGAAGGAAGAGGTAAGAAGAGCAGTCATTAAAATAGATACACTGTAAAAAGTTGGGATTAGCATATATTAGATTTTTGGTTTTGATAAACAATCCCTCCCCACCCCCAGTTTCACTGTAGCTTTGGAGGCTGTCCTGGGACTGGCTTTGTAGACCACGCTGGCCTCAAACTCAGAGATCTACCTGCCTCTTCCTCCCGAGTGCTGGGATTAAAGGTGTGTGCCACCACTGTCTGGTGATAGAAATCTTTTTTTTTTTCTTTTCCTTTTTTTGGGGGGGTTTGAGAGAGGGTTTCTCTGTATTGCTTTGGGTGTTGTCCTGGAACTCGCTCTGTAGACCAGTCTGGCCTCGATCTGCCTTCTGAGTGCTAGGTGTGAGCTACCAATGCCTGGCTAGAAATCTTTTTTGATATTATAACACTTTCTTATTACACTGCCAGTTTTTGTGTGTGTGTGTGTGTGTGTGTGATATGCATGTGTTTGAATGTGTATGCATGAGGGCAGTCAGTCTTGGGTGTCACTCCTCAGTTTATGACTACTTTGGTTTTTTTGAGAAAGGATGTTTCATTGCCTGGAACTCATCACTTTAGCTGGGCAGGCCAACCCAAAGGCTCTACCCTTCTCTGCCTCTCCAGCCCTGGGATTTCAAACTTGTGCTACTACACTCAGCATTTTTATATAGATGGGCCCTGGGGGTCAGATTCTTAGACTTGAATAATATCTTAGCTTCTTTCTGGTGCTATGATACACATATAGATATTTGGTTTATACTTCCAGGTCACTGTCCCTCCCTGAGGGTTGTCATGCAGAGGCTTGACCCAGAAACCATGGAGGAATGAATGCTGCTTGTTGGCTTGTTCTCTCACTGGCTCAGGCTCATATTAAGCTAGTTTGCTTAAACTGCCCAGGATAGCCAGGTGTAGTGATGCATACCTTTAATTCCAGCCCTCAGGAGACAGGCAGATCTCTGAGTTTGAGGCTAGTCTGATCTACAAAGTGAGTTCCAGCATAGCCAGGGCAGCTTCATAGAGAAATCCCTGTCTTGTAAAATAAAAAATAAAACAAAAAGCTGCTCAGGTGATTCTAGGCTGTGTCAGGTTGACAGTTAATGATAACTAGGATACATGGCTATTTTCTAAAGTTATTTTTTTTCTCTCTTTCTTAAAAGATTTATTGTGTATACTGTGTTTTGCTTGTGTGTATGCCTGTGCTCCAGAAGAGGGCACCAGATCTCATTATAGATGGTTGTGAGCCACCATGTGGTTGTTGGAAATTGAACTCAGGACCTCTGGAAGAGCAGTCAATGCTCTTAACCCCTGAGACATTTCTCCAACCCCTCTTAAGTTACTTTTTATATAAGACACCATGATCAAGCAAGGCACCTTAAAAAGAAGGGAATTCAACTTTGGGCTCCTGGTTCCAGAGATTTAGAGCCCATGACCAATCATGGCAGGGAGCATGGCAGCACTCAGGCAAGAATAGCACTAGAGCATTTCTAGACATTTCTGTCTAGAAAGGAGCACAAGGCAGAGAAAGCCAACTGGGAATGGTGGTAGTCTTTTGAAACCTCAAAACTCATTCCCAATGACATAGGTCTTTCAAAAAGGCCACACCTCCTAATCCTTCCAGAATAGTTTACCAAATGGGGACCAAGCACTCAGATATGCTGGTGGGGCCATTATCATTTAAACCACTATACTTCATAGCCCATTTTTATACCTTTTTCTGTGAGGTGTTTGTGATGGTACCCGCTTAAAGATTGCCACCTGTAGAAGATCTGGACACATTGTATTTCACAGTATCTTTGCATAACAATAGACAGCTATATACCAAGGAACAAAAAAGGCCACTCAAACTTGTTTTGAAAAGCAAGTTTCTCTGTTAGAACTTTGGGGGAGAGTCTTGAGTCAGTAGAGTTGTTTTGGGATTGTCCCTGTCAAGACCATACCATTACCTTTGTTTTATCAGGCACAAACAGAGTTGGGGTTTAGTTTTCTTGACCACCTTCATTAAGAAAACCTCATTGCTGCTTTCATTATCATCTTCTGATCGTGTCGAAGTATAGCATTGACTTCACTGTTGGGGCCTACATTATGCCTTAAAATATTAGATTTGTGTATGTTTTATGTATTTGCCTCCTGAGCCCTGTCTTATGATTAAACTGGTCTGCAATATATTGCTTTTACTGAAGAGCCTGCTCCCCCCTCCCCATATCATCTGTTGATAGTTTTTATAAGAACTAGAAGCAGTAAATGTTAAGGACTAGAAGTATGTTTTTGAAAATGAGGGTAGTGAGTCCCTGCTGAAGATTAAGGATAGTGTGGGAGGTAAACCTTAAGCTGATCTAGTTGCTTATAGTCAGACTCCATTGTTTAGATAATACTGTTTGGTCAGTATGTAACAGGTGAAAAGTGTTGTTGAGGGACAGAGAGACGACTCAGTGGTTATTCCCAACATCCATGTGGTATCTAGCTGGCTGTAACTCCTGTCCCAGTGGATTTGTTTCCCTCTTCTAACCTCAGTGGGTACTGCATACCTATGATGCACAGACATTCATGAAGACAAAACCATCTATAAATGTAAAAATTTTAACATTTAAATGTTTATTAAATGTTGAACTTTTCCCTTACCAGTTTTATTGATAATTGTTTGGGATAATTGTTTATTTTAGTACACATTATTTTTCCCTATGTAAATGAGATAGAATCTCTCTTTGTGACCTTGCCTGGCCTCCTTCATTTCTCCATAACAGATTTTTTTTTTTAATTTTAAGTTTTTAAACATTCATGTGTGTTTATGTGTACACCGTTGAATGCCCATGTGGTTGTAAGCTGCTTGCTTGTTGTGGGTGATGGGAATTAAACTTGGATCCTCTGGAAGAGTGGCAAGGACTCCTAACTGGCACCACCTCTATAGCTCCACAGACCCATGATTCTTCAAGATACTTTAATCTCCAAACTTTGATGTTCTGTTTAATTCTTCTTGTTTCTTTGCTATTTTTTCTTGATATTTGGGGCTGTTTTTTTAAAAATATATATATATATTTTATGTATGAGTGCTCTGAATGTATACATGCATGCTAGAAGAGGGCCCCATATCCTATTACAGAAGGTTGTGAGACACCTTGTGGTTACTGGGAATTGAACTTAGGACCTCTGAAAGAGCAGCCAGTGCTCTTAACCGCTAAGCCATCTCTCCAGCCCCAATATTTGGAGTTCTACACAACTCAAATTACCCCTTTGTCCTAGTCACTGTTCTGTTGCTGTGAAAAGACACCACAACCAAGGAAACTCTTATAAACAAAGGAAAACATTCCATTCAGGGCTTGCTTACAATTACAATTACAGAGGTTAGTCCATTATCTTCACGACAGGGAGCATGGTGGTGTGCATGGCCTGGCAGTAGCTAAGAGTTACATCCTGGTCCTCAGACAGAGAAAAAAGAGAGAATGCCTGCCTGGCTTGGACTTTGAAACTTCAAGACCCACCCCCAGTGACATAATTCCTCCTGGCCACATGTACTCCAACAATTTCAATACCTAATCCTTCTAATCCTTTCAAATGATGCCACTCCCTAGTAACTAGAATTTAGATATTTAACCTATAGGGTCATTGTTACTCAATCCACCACACTCTCTCAGTTCATTAAACAAAAATAAGTACTTTCCCCAGAAATTTAAGTGAGTGGGAGAGATAAATGACTCATCCTACCTCCTGCCCTGCCTACCCCATATAGGATGTATTTAAGTTTATTATTATTATTGTGTTGTTATGTAGGAGTGCTTATGCCATGATGTTTCTGTGGAGTCAGAGGAGAACTGTGTGGAGTCATGTCTTTCCTTCCACAATTAAGTTGCTTCTGGAGATGGAATTTGGTGTTCTTGGGGATCAAATTCAGGTTTCCGGGCTTTCCAGGCAAGCGCCTTTAACCTACTGAACCATGTCACTGATCCTGCACATTGCCTTTTTAAAGCTGTTTTTTGAAAATATGAATAAGATATGGTCATAGAATATAGTGAGATTTGAAAACTACACGTGAAAATGATTTGTGAGCTTGGTCAGATTCAAGGTGGACCATTGGAGAAGTACAGAGCTTAGACTAGAGAGTTGTGGGCAAGAGGTAAGAAGCAAAGTTGGAAAAACAAGAGTGTTTGTATGCTCTGCCAAGAGTCAGATTTTATCCTTAAAGCAGCATGTTTCAGCTGACCTGAGCTTGTGGGAGCTCACAGACTCTGCACCAACAGCTAGGGAGCCTGCATGGGACCAACCTAGGCCTTCTGCATGTGTGTGACAGTTGTGTAGCTTTGTCTGTTTTGGGGGCCTCTGGCAGTAGGATCAGGACCTGTCCCTGCATTTGAGCTGGCTTTTGGGAACCCATTCTCCATGCTGGGATGCCTTGGCTAGCCTTGATATAGGGCTTGGTCCTTTATCAACCTGATGTGCCATGCTTTGTTGATTCCTCTGGGACACTTGCGCCTTTCTGAATGGAGGAGGAGTGGATGATGGGGGCAGTATAGATGGGAGGTGGGGAGGAGGGAACAGGAACAAAGGAGGGAGGAGAAACTGGCTGGTATATAAAATAAATGAAAAAAAATTTAATAAAAAAAAAGAAAACAGCATGTCTCCATCGTAAGTAAACATGATAAGATTTGAGCAATTGCTCTAAGTGTAGAGGATGCATTTTAGGGGGATCTTTCTATGGAGAACTCAGTTTCACAAACTTGATTTCAGTGTCAATAGTAGAAACCAAGGTATGAATCAAAAAAACATACAACTCTCCCCTCTCATAATTTGGACCTTTTGTACAGTAGTGGATGAAGACTATATTGAAAGCAATATGGAATTAGGAAAACATAAAAACTACATAAAAAATACTTGGGGGCAATTTCAGGTTACAAAACTTTTTCCCCCAAGTTTTCTTTATTACTTTTTGTAAGTGTGTCTTCATGGCAAGAGTATTCAGACTAGTCATGTCCAGTTCTTATTGTTTTAATGGACAGTGGAATTGGAAAGC